AGCCAGCTTCTCCAGGAGGATGCTGTGGGACTTTTAAAGTTTCCCTTTGCAGATAGCAGTTGCAGAAAAAGTTGCAGAAAAAGTTGCTGTTAGAATGCAATTATTTGAACTTGTGCTGCCACTAAATGCCCTGAGATGCTTCTTGACTTCTAGCAGGTTTTCAAGTTTTAAGAAATACTTGAACTCAAAGACAGAAAACAATGACTTTTTCTCTACTAATCAGCCAAGCAACATTTTCATGTCCTAGCTAACAAGTTGTAACATTTTTAACAGTCTTCCCATCTTTCATTATGGAATGTTATTTTCTACAACCATTAGCCAATAACAGCATAAGAAAGAACAGGAAAATATTTACAAAGCTATCACTGCTGTAAGCTACGTAGAGAATTTGTTGTTCGTAGTTTTAGAACTGTGCAACTATGTCAACAAGAATTTCCTCTCCTATGAAACCAACAGCTATGTCCACATTTTAAGAGGGGTTTTGCAGCATTTTTAATGAAGAAGCTTTTCAGGAATTCATAAACACTTCTTCAGTTTTCTGATTAAAGAATTCAGCTCAAGGCAGAAGCTTGTCATTTTCATGAAGAAGGCTCTCATTGCATTTTAAGCGTTATCTGCTGCTAAGGGTTCTTTCCCTTACAGGTTTTCCTGTCTTGCTGTCACACTGAACCCAGTGACGAACTTCACATCATTCTCATCTCACTGCAGTGCTGTGAACCAAGGACCTAAAGAAAAAAATTCTGGCGGATGATGCTTTTATGTTACTGTACATAACATCTGAACGTTTGGAGCAGATTCAGTGACTACTGAAAAAGAGAGAGCTCCGAGTGTAAGAACTGTTTATTTATCTCATGAAAAGCACGGCTATGACTAGCTCTTTGAACAGGTTTCATAAGAGCACAGAAAAAGATTCAGAAATTACTCAAGGAATCTATTCAAGAAGTGGTTCAGGAAAGTTAGGGGCTTCTGAAAGACCTTCTTTAGACCAAGTTAACTTTTCAAATACTGTATCAGTTTTAACTGTAGCTCTTATTCCTGAAATTCAGACAACAGCGAGGGTATCACAAAGCTCCACGTGCAACACAGTTTTGAAGTAATAAAGATCCTCAAGTAACTGGAAGAAATAAGAGCATTCTAGTGGTCTGAATTAAAACAGAAGACTCCCATGGTTAAAATACAAAGCATCACATGAATTGTTAATTCTCAAAGCCAAAAAGTTAAAGTCAAAAAAACAGCAGCACAAAAATACTTACAAGACAGTACACACATTTACTTCAAAATGCTAAACGTGTTTCTCACTCAAATTTGGCCTATAAGAACTTCATACGTCTGACTCCATCCATTCTAACTGGTTGATGAACAGACAAAAGATTTGTGGCTACATCAGGAATTCATTCTTTCAGTGTCTATCATTTCCTGGTTTCTAATTTGTTGGGCTTCCTCATCAGCTACTGAGTAAGTTATTATTGAAACATACTTCAGCAGTACTTGCTTCTTTTCAGTGCCTGAAAAAAAACTACTGGTAAATAGCCACATTTGAAACAGTGATCAACTGACCACTAACCATGGCTGATAACAAGAAGACCTGAAGCTGCACACAGCCTCTTCACAAGTACTCAACTACTGAAAGCCAGGAAGAGCCAAGGATAATATTGAAGTATCAAAATCATAACCAATATTCTGTTGTCAATAACTGCATTCCCAACTCAAGATATAAATATTATCATCATACCTCCTCTTGAAGGAATTAAGTCTTTGAGAAATTAATGATTTTTTTTTTTCATCTAAAACCAATGGCAGGAGAGCTATTTACATCACACACCGAGCAGCTTCACTTACACTGGGCAAAAAGCTCCAGCATGTTTTCTATTCTCACTGTATTGTTCTCTCTTGTAGTCAAATAGACCCATTTCACACTGTGTTCCAACAAAAATAGACTATCTGACCCTTTCCCATGGTATTATGCAAACTGTTTAAAGACTGTGCACTCACACATTCACCTCTGAAAACTAACGCACCTCATTCAGTAATGACAGCAACAATGCATTTAAACTGTATATAACTTGGGGGGATGCTTAGATTACAGAGTACTAATTACTACTCAATATATTTAAAGACTTTCATTAGTCTTTGTTTTCACTATTTTTAGTACTATATGCAGCTCTCACTTAAGGAAGAAAGGACACAAACACAAGAACTTGGAAAACAACGATGGTTTCAATCCACATATTCTAGGATCATCACAGTAGACATATTAGAGATTGTGATTTTGTGATTCAACTGCATATTGTAATTCCTACATTCCAAGTATTACTTGTACTTGTAGAGCATTTTGATTTTGCAGAGCAATACAAGCAGGAAAATTTTTGTTACACGTCAAACCCTCCATGTGTAGAACATCTGAAATAACCTGACAACTCACAGTTCCTGCAGCTAGGAATATTAATGCAGATTAGCATGATTTTAGGATTAGAATTTAAATTTAACTATAATTTAATTTGAAGAAAAATCACATCAAATTCACATCTGTCTGCAACACACCCTACCCATTTAAGAAGTATTATTAAAAAGATTCCTCCCTCATGTGAGGGAGGAGCGATTCTTGTAATAGACTGCTATGCTTAATAAAAACATGTTTTAAATCATCTTATTGCTATAAAATCATTATATAAATTCCATGATATTGCACAAAGCATAAAAGAGACTGTTTCTGCAGTTTTAGACCTAATAAAAGCATAATGTAAAAAAAGAAGCATGTACCTTTCATTTGTGTTCCAAAAGTAAGTGCCAATTTTGCAAACAGTTCTGGGTCTTCAAATTTATCTTCTTCAGCTTTTACCCAAAAGCTGCTTTCCGCTATTTCTTGAGGCTCAATCTGGAACAAAAATATCATCTCCAAGGTTAATAACTAGTATTTAAAATAGCCAAGTTAAAGCCAATGCTACTAGGCCTTGGTGATAACTGGACTGAATTAAATCAGTTATGTTTCAAATACTGTGTTCTCTTACAGATTCTTTCTAAACAAAGCACAATCAGATGAACTGACCCCTACATACACTGTTTTTTAATATTTCTCCCATTTAACCAGTGTTCCCAATAGGCTTGATAACACATTAGCATGTGGGTTCAAAAGTGTTCTAGTTTTCTCTTGACTACTTTCTAGACAATTTCCAAATTCTTCACCACTGACATGCACCCCAGCTACTGGAGAACTGTAGAAGGAATAGTCTTTTTTACACCGGTCAAGGTATGTGATACCTTACTTGAAAATGACATGTCAATGTGGACTTTTCAGTGACTCAATATTAAGTCCACAGGAAGAATTATCATTTTTATATCAGAAATAGTTTCACACTTAAAATCACTCTTCTTATATATCTACATTTGAAAAATGGAATCAACACAGATTTCATCACTGTACCTTATTTAATACTGGCTATATTAGAAAGAGAAAAGTACTCTAATATACAAAGTGAAAGCCAATTTTACTCCTCATGTATGATTCAGAACAGCTATTTTGTTTTCTAAATATGTTCCTCTTCTACTTTTTAAAAGTCTTATCAATTCTTGTTTACAAGTTTGTTTAAATGCCAATTGATTTTCAAGTGCTATTTAACTTCAAGATGATATGCCAGAAATGTATCAATACTATGTCTGTAAGCCTCACTGGGATTTCACTGTCACACCCTGGTCCTCCCTTTTCCCATGCGATCAAACTGTTAAAGTGGAGCTGCTTTACTACCAGTTGCATGAAAGACATTTTAAAAAACTATCTTAATCCAACTTTAATGGTGAAGACAGCTACAACAAAAGGCTCTAAATTGACCAGTTATAATTTTATTCCCAAAATGACAGCTCCTTAAAGGTGATGATCAAATAGCCTTTGCTCTTTTTCAGTGTGCAGGAGATCTTTGCTTAAGTGCTCCGGGAGCAGTATCAAGGCGTCCAGCTGCAGTCACCCTCCATTGCCATGCAGTGTTCAGATGTACACTTTATAAATTATCTCTAAACACATTGACATAATTGATTTCAATGAAATTGGCTGCAATGAAAAATACAAACTATAAATTAAGAATCTTATTTTTCTGTATGTTTATGGGATAGTAGTCTGAGTACGCTTCAGTTACAGAACTAGTGCCTCTGAGTGTAGAATCAGATATTACTTAACAAGGACAGCTGAGTGTAGAAAGCATAAAGTTACGAGTGAGGTAAAACTTCTTCCCTGCTTAAGCAAGAAGCCTAGATAAATAAAAGAAAACTAATTGTGGGAGAGAAACTATCCTAACCTGACAAAGCACTGGCATGTCACAGATGAGTACCAACTCCAGGAGAGAATGATATAGTCAATGGCATATACATTTTTACCAACGGTGAAATACCCTGAAAAAAACCTGCACTGTTTCAGAGTGTGATTTAAACTACATGTTCAACAGTGGTTCCATATTAAATTGCAACTCATGGTCAGCAGTGACCACCTGTAGCCACTTAAGAGTTTACTTTCAACAACAATTTGATTTTGCCCAGTTCTCGGTACCAATGCACTGTTGAGACAGAATATAGTTTAAGAAAAGTGTCAGAGACCAGTCTGTAGTGCAAAGATACAGTACCTTGACAAATGAGTACCAGTTACCTAGTCAAACTACACTGAAGTCCAAGCTAGAGCTCAAACCAGAGCAATATATAAAGGTTCTCCTTTGTTTTGCCTAGATGGTTTGGTGATCTATGTATTTTTTTCCCTACAATACATCTACCACTTTTTATACCACTAAAAACAGCCAACCCTAAGCTTCCTTTAAGATGTGCTGATTTACTCTTGGTGATAGATGCAATTATCTAGTCCCCAGATTTATTTCCTTTACATGGAAGGAACAGTGGCTATACTGATCACAAAGGGATTTTCAATCAACATGTACACAAACACAGCTGAAAACTTGCAGAACTTCTCTCGTCACCAAGTGACCAATTATTATGAGAGGTAAGAATAACTAGTGACTGCTCGTAAAGGTTCATTTGTAAATAAGAGATTGTGCTTGCTGCTTAAGTAAATGTTTAATCCAATTTCATTTTTTGAAAAATTCTTAAAATATAAAAATAACCATGTGAAGACTGTGCAGAATCTAACACTCAATGGAAGTTAATGGTGCCCAGGTATTTCAATTGAGCAGAGCCATAGCTCCTCCCAGTGGCCTCAAGCCTGCCCTAACACACCACTAATGTGAAACAACCAATAAACGTCTCAGAGATTAAAAGATACATGTACCATTATAGCCCGAATACCAGCATTTTCTGAACTTATAATTACATTATACATCATGAACTTAGAAGTTTTCTACATGAAATAGCAATCCATTATCCATGTTTAGAAAACTGCTTTAGAACTACACCTAATAGTTTGAACACGTGTATGAAACAACGCAAAGCCACAACTGATGTTTGCTGCACCCAGTAGAACGATGCCCATTATTCCATTTTGGTCATCAGAGTTTTCACTCTCTGCTTTGATACAAGGAACTATGACATTCAGTGAGCATTCACCCACAGCCATACACCACATACCTCAGAGGATTCATTGAATGGTTTGGGTTGGAAAGGACCTTAAAGATCATCCAGTCCAATCTCCCTGCTGTGGGCAAGGACATCTCCCACCAGACCAGGTTGCCCAAAGCCCTGTCCAACCTGGCTCTGAACACTTCCCCGGAGGAGGCATCCACAACTTCCCTGGGCAACCTGTGCCAGTGACTCAACACCCCCACAGTAAATAATTTCTTCCTAATATCTAGTCTAAAATTACTCTCTTTCAGTTTAAAACCATTACCCCTCGTTCTATCGCTACCTACCCTTGGAAAAGGTCCCTCCTCGGCTTTCCTGTAGGACCCCTCCAGGAACTGGAAGACTGCAATAAGGTCACCCTGGAGCTTTCTCTTCTCCAGGCTGAACAGCCTCAACTGTCTCAGTCAGTCCTCGTAGGAGAGGTGCTCCAGCCCTCTGATGATCTTAGTGGCCCTCCTCTGGGCTTGCCCCAACAGCTCCATGTCCTTATGCTGGACACAGTACTGCAGGTGGGGTCTCACATGAGCAGAGTAGAGGGCCAGAATCACCTCCCTGCTGGCCACACTTCTTTTGATGCAGCCTAGGATGCACATTGTAGGTTCATGTTGAGTTTTTCATCGACCAACAACCCCAAGACCTTCTCCTCAGGACTGCTCTTGAGCCACTCTCTGCCCAGCCTGTATCTGAGCTTGGGATTGCCCCTACCCAGCTGCAGGACCTTGCACTTGGTCTTGTTGAACTTCATGAGGTTGGCATGGGCTCACCTCTCCAGCCTGTCCAGGTCCCTCTGGATCGATCCTTTCCTTCCAGGGTGTCAACCACACCACACAGCTTGGTGTCATCCACAAACTTGCTGAGGGTGTGCTCAATCCCACTGTCCATATCACTGACAAAGATGTTGAACTGTACCAGCCCGAGTACCAATTCCTGGGGACCACCACTCGTCACTGGTCTCCATTTGGACATTGAGCCATTGACCGCAACTCTGAGTGCGACCATTCAGCCAATTCCCTATCCAGCGAGTGGTCCATCCATCAAATCCACATCTCACCAGTTTTGTGACCAGTATGTCATGTGGGACAGAGTCAAACACTTTGCACAATTCCAGGTAGATGACATCAGTTGCTCTTCCCTTACCCACCGATGCTGTAACTTCATCATAAAAGGTCACCAAATTGGTGAGGCATGATTTGCCTTGGGTAAAGCTGTGTTGGTTACCACCAGTCACTGCACCCTCATTCTCCATGTGCCTTAGGAGAGCATTCAGGAGGATCTGCTCCATGATCTTGCCAGGCACAGAAGGGAGACTGACTGGCCAATAGTTTGCTGGGTCTTCCTTTTTCCCCTTTTTGAAAATGAGGGTTATGTTTCCCCTTTCCCAGTCAGCTGGGACTTCACCAGACTGCCATGACCTTTCAAATATGATGGATAGCGGCTTGGCAACTTCAGGACCCATGGATGGATGTCATCAGGTCCCATGGACTTGTGCACTTTCAGGTTCTTTAGATGGTCTTGAACCTGATCTTCACTTACAGAGGATGCATCTTCCTTCTCCCAGTCCCCACCCTTACCTTCTGTAACTTGGGCAGCATGGCTAGAGCCCTTGGCAGTGAAGACCGAGACAAAGTAGTCATTCAGCACCTCGGCCTTCTTTGTGTCCCTTGTGACCAGTTTTCTGTTTTCCTTCCGGCAAGGGCCCACATCTTCCCTGACCTTCCTTTTATTGCTGATTTACCTATAGAATTTCTTCTTGTTCTCCTTTATGTTGATGGCCAGATTCAAATCCATCTGCACTTTAGCTTTCCTAACCTGATCCCTGGTTGTTTGGATAACTTTTCTGTAATTCTCCCAGCTAATCTGTTCTCACTTTCACTACCTATAGATTTTCCTTTTGTGCTTAACTAAGTCCAGGAACTCCCTGGTCATCCACGCAGGCCTTCTGGCATTCTTGCCTGCCATCCTCCTCCTTGGGATGCACTGCTCCTGGACTCAGATGTGTCAGACGTCCTCTCAGACACACCCTCATGACAGGCCCAAAAGAAAATACTGCTGTGACCTACTGCCACCTCCCTGCTGTCATTACATAAATCCACTGATCTTAGTGCACATCCTCTGAAAGCTCTCATGGAAGGAAATCACTTGCTCAGCAATGGGCAACCCACACGCTCTTAAAAAAAGAATTCTGTGCTGCAAGTAAGTTAGCTTCCTGGGACACGCATCTATCAAACATCAAACACAACACTCTGTCAACAAGAACTTCACTTAAAAATTCATTATATCATACAAAATCAACCATATTTGTAAAGTAAAGAAGAAGACAGGAACATCAACTTCACAATTCTAAGAGCCATGACTTCGGCTCAAGTTTAACACTAAACCACATACTACTAAGTCAAATGCAGTCACTTTTCACGAAACTCAGCAGCTGGAAAATCGCACTAGTAAAGAATTCTTCACTGCTTAAAATTAAAACTGATGTTTAATAACACCATTGCCTTTAGAATGTATTGCAACTGTCTTAACACAGTAACACCTGCCTTTCTCAGAGAGGGAAAAGCAGTTACAGTGTTTCATAGTGCAACTCTCACTGACAAGCAGGTAAGGCAATGAAAGTCAGATTTCCTTTCAAACTTCCAGAACAAGAACAAAAAGAAATGTGAAAACAAAATAATTATCTTAATTTCTTAATTGGATGATTTAATTTATAGCAAATTACTGTGTTTATTAACCTCATGTCGAGATACCTGCTTTTAAACAGAAAATTTTGTAAGTTGAAGTCTGTATATTTACTATCATGCTAAGTACGGAGTTAATCTAACTAGGAAAAATGTTCTTGCCAGTGCCTTCCCACCCTTCTCTTTTTAAGCTAGTCAAGTTTAAGTTTCATGCAAGATTTTTAAAATGAAACTAGATAATCCAAAGCATTGCCACCATAGCAATTTCACTTATACTTAATTTTTAAAAGAAACTCATAGAAGGGATACCCAGAGCACTAATGCACTGCTCTGTCAAGACGATATCAAAGCTAAAATTAGTCTCTGAAATCCTGTTCCACTTTCAACCTGTCTTCAAAAAAGGGAAAAAAAAAAAGTCATAAAACACAATTTATGGCTCCCACGGCTTGCTTAACCCAGAGAAGACAAAACTAAAATCAGAGTTCTGCTTTATATCATCTTCCAAAATTCCATGTACCCATTCACACGAAGTTTTACTGCATTTTATACCTAGAGGCTCAAGTAAAACCTCTTATTACATCACCTTTCTCAAGATTCTTTCTCACTACTCAGCCACAGCTACTTCAACTAAGCAAACGGCTCTAGTTATCCCTTGACTCCAGATCCTTCTTTATGTCAACTGCCAGATTGTCAAAATTCCTAAATGGCAGTCTTCCACCCAACTGTCTACTTTAAGATTCATATCCCCTGCCCTAAAACCCAGCAATCCTTTAACGGACTCAACTTCTTGCTGAAAACAGAAGTCACATGATTTATCAAGTAAGCATTTTAATTTTTGATAACTTAAACGCTGCAATAAACAAGACTTCTTACCTTTGAAGTCCTCACTTGGCAAGTCAAATACCTACAGCTGAAAACACGAAGAACTTAACTCTACACAAAATCAGCTGAAATTCTGAGAGTTGATAGTTACAGGTATCCCCAGATTATGGGATGTTACGGGCTCTTGGCAGCATTAAACACTTGGAATTTACACCACAGCATAACGCATCTTTGAATAACAATACCAACTGAATCACAATCACTGCAATAAGAATGTTTTGGATTTTAAAATCTGAATGAATTCCCTAAACTTCGTGAATACTATTAATCTAATCGAAACTCTAGCACGTTACCTCCTTCTTCCTCTAAAGCCACATTTATCAGTGGGAATAAAATGAAACATTTTAATACCTTTGACCAGTTGATTCTCTTCATGTTGACTTCCAGCTTATACTTCTTCTTCTCCTTCATCCCATGTGGCAACGCTGGCATCACCGGAAAGGGAGCAAAAGGAACACCTGCAAAAGCTGGTGGCATTGGAGGCCCACCGAAAAGTGGTGGTGGAGGAGGTGGTGCTGCTCCACCAGGTAGCGGAGGAGGCGGAGGCAGTACTACTCCACCAGGCAGCGGAGGAGGCGGTGGCGGTACTACTCCACCAGGCAGCGGAGGAGGTGGTGGCGGTACTACCC